CGCACATAATTGGTATCAATTATGAAAGATGAAGACCAGTTGAAGGGTATCTGTCAAGGAACAATAGATTTTCTCGCCCGACAAAAAATTGTAGGCCTCTAACTTTTTAGTTGACGGAATCTCTGAAGTTTATTAGTGGCACTTGCGAAAATTTTGCTGGGTGAAAAAAATCGTTCGCGTTGAAAATGGTTTCGCGTTGACAGATTTTTTTGCAAAACAAACGAAATATCGCGTAGTGCGAACAGGCCCTAAGGGTAAGAATTAATGGGACTCGACTGTCTTTTCCTTTTAAATGCAAAAGTAATCAATTAAGTACTTTACTATTTAAAGTTTAGTGACATCTAAGTTTATTTTTACGAAAAGTTCGCGATGTTTTGTTTGTTTACATTGTCAAGGTGTAACATCGCTCTTACGTTTCGGTTAATTTGGCGATAAAAGTATTGTTTTCAGTTAATTCAAGGCAGGAAACAAAACTAAAATCACTTACGTAATCAAAAAACTCAAAATGTTTCTCAAAATCTTAAACCGAATTGTCGCGAAATGTTCTTCACTCTTCGCACTTCAAAATCGCGAAATAATCTGACACAAATATTTCACGTTTTGGGTGAACTGAAAGGAATGAAAACAGAAACAAAATGTATGACGACAAAAGAATAATGATGACGAGGTTTCCTGTAGCAAGTGGTAGCCTTTTGACAAACTGAACTGTGCATTGTAAAAACAAGAACGATAGGAATGTAATTACCTACCAAAATTATTTCATCGTAACTCCGTCATTACTCGCTGCATGATTTAATTATCTAATCATCACATTTTTATTCCTTATTCACGGCATTTTCATCCTCTCTTGTTCAAATTATTTATGGGCTAATCAGCTAGTCTACCCATGAGCAGATAGCGGAGTCCTATATCCAAGAAAATCGTTGCCACTCCGAGCCTCCCATGCATCTGTGAGCTCACCTACATCAGCTTCCTGCTCAGGCGTCTTAAGAAGAGTATGGGAAAATAAATGCAACTTGGAAGAGACCACAGGAAGGAGAGAAAACGTGGGATTAATACTCGCGTTCTTTTCGTCTTTAAAACAACTGATTTTTGCAGTAGAGAGACGCCTATGGTATGAAGTAGCACTTACACAGGGGAGGCGCGCGTGACGTCATCACCGCAATCAGCAACTTAGAAAAGTCGCTTTGTCTCCTTTCACCAACCACCTCTCACTTACCAAGAGATACCTTGTTCCTTAAATATCTGACATTCACTTTTAAGACTGGTATCGAATCAGTCCAGGCCAGTGAAAACTTACCTTCCAGTGTTTTTCTAAAAATTTCGTTGGAACTCTCTAAGAAACGTAACGACCCTAAGGTTCGCTTACTAAGGAATGTAAATCGTTTGGCCCTCATTATCTCGAACACTGCCTGTATTTTTGTTTTCTTTGTCAAGGATCAAGGGGTCACTTTCAATGGATTATCATCCCAACCAGCTGTATTAGCAATACTTCTACTCCACGCATGAAAACTGAAATATAGGCAGTTATTTTCAGCCAGGCCCCCATTTAAGACATATCTGTTCACCTTTCCTGTGACAACCTTGTCTTTTGTCTTGTCAGATACAAAAGAACACGATTATTGACCATGGAATTTACAGCAGGTACCACGTTCCTAAGCATTTCACCAATTTACCAAAGGTGAAAACCTCTCATGATTGCATGGTAGGTATGTTTTTAAGGAAGTCTCCAGTATACCATAACGATTTCTTCCGAAGTTTGTTTTCCTTGAATAGCTAGCAACCTTTCAGAGGACAGACTGCCGACTCTCCTGCGCCCAGTAGTTCCAAGGCCGCTTACCCGACTAACTCAGGGTTAAATTTTTACACCGATTTCTTGTTCAAAAGCATCCAATCATCAAATTGTAGACAAAATTGAAAAAAGGTTGTACTTGTACTGATTTTTCTTCTAAAACGCTCAGATTTGAAATCAGATTTCACACTTACCCTGCGTTCACTTAACCCATCTTTGAACAACATGGCCCTGATTTGACCTTTTGTATTCTGAATTTTAATTATGACCTAGTTACAATATACAGGTTAAATAAAAAAGGTTGATTCGATGAGATACCAAAGTGCAATGGAGACAAGCTTCCTTTAATTGGCCAGAGATCAGTATGATTGTTATTTTTTAGAAAGCTAGCCTTGCAGGTTTGAAATTGGTATCATATAGACGTCTTTAGGACAAGTTTGGGTAGCTTTGTGCGTTGGGTATTTCCCCCAAAGATCTTACGATTCATACAACTGTATACAAATGCTACTTTATTTTGAAATGTTTTAAAACAAACTCCTCGCGTGGTTCTCCTGATAACTTGTCAAAAGAGAATACGAACAGCCGGTCAGTAATGATTTCCTCTTTATCTGTTTCAGAGGAAATATAATGTCAAGGTTTCAGCAGAAATGTTTCCAGCCAGAAAGGAATTTTCCAACGAAAAAATGACAAAAACTTGTATGTCTCCAGTACGCACACCCGTCGCAAATCAACTCTGCAAACTTCGTTACAAACACAGACCTCACTGCACTAGATATCCGAACTAACGTAGATCAGGCACAATGCCCACTATGAAAAACACCCAAATGACTTTACTTTTTAAATGATAAGTAAAGAAATGTTTAATGAGAGTGTGCATGGTAAGCACCGGTTTAAATCTTAATGAATAAAGGCTGATGGTTTCTAAAGAAACTGTTTGGGGCTGCGTCGGTGGGGGTAACGAAATAATTTGAATGTATGAACAAAGTTGAAATGGTAAATTGGCCACCGTTACGGTTATAAAAGCTGACGTTTCGAGCGTTAGCCCTTCGTTGGAGCGAATAGAGGAATTGTCGGTTGTGTGTGCTTTTAAAGGCAGAAAATGGAGCTACGTGATTGGTGGGAACATGGCAACGAGAAAAACACGAATAGATTAGTGGAATGAAAAGCGTTCGTTGAAACCTGTGCGATTTAGACTGCCGGTTTGAAAGATGAGCTTAATTTTGTTCAAGAGTTTTGCGGTTTTAAATCTTAGACAATTCTGACATGCAGGCTGTTCTTTCAAAATA